TGTTATGTTATGTTACAACTACTATTAGGTACGTTACTGGTAGAAGGTGTTTAAAAATATCTTCAACTGATTTCAAGGAATACTTTTTATTTATAAACGGCTATCATCAAATGTTTCCGTAAAATAATATTCCGATATGCATCTAGGAGTTCTGCTCTTTCCTATTATTACTAGTTTTTCTCCTGTTCGGCATCTCGAGATTCCCTCAGTGAATGCTAATGTAGTCGTTGTGTAAATAGCCATTATAATGGCGATCAACAGCAAACAAAACCGCGGCTCTATTATCTGAAACAATAAAATTCAGTATATTGTTTTTTATTATGAATCTCTCACATATTTTCTTACTGATTAGTACCTACATGTTCTCATTCACCTGGCCTGGCCTATTCCCAGTTAGCTTAGCACGAAAAGTTAGTTTGTACACAAACGATCAGATTAGCGACGCTAATCTCAGGAGTAGTTCCTTCAGTAGTTCATTCAGTTCCGTATTCTGGAAAAAATTACATAGTACGAAGTTCGTTCAGGTCTTACTTTTTTTCGATAATTTGTACTAATTGTTTACAGAATAAGGAACCGAATTCTATCAAGTGAAAGGACAATGCCCAAAAATACGTATATGGAGCAAAACCACGAAATCGATTGAAATCATTCATGTACTTATTAAAATCATTCATGGACGTAATGGACCATATGGCCTCTGCCTCAAATTTTGCGGGCAGCGGGGCGGCGGCGGTGGCGACGTACCAAGCACCGCACCGCTTGACTGGAATGCACTGCTCATTGCCTTCCACCGCGCCACTGCTCCGCCGCTGTTTTCAAGAACTGGTCCATTTGATTTTACGCATAAGATCCTGCAGCTCACGCGCTGCCGCCCCGCTACCCGCAAAATACAAGGCAGAGGCCTAAGTAAGAAATTACAAATATAATACCTATACGCTATTTGTTTTGGACAAAACCGTAACCGAACGGACTGTTTTGTATGGGCGCGTGCATAATTTACTTTTTTCAACCAACTTCAAAAAAAAGGAGGTGATTCTCTATTCGACTGTATTTTTTTTAGTTTGTTACTCAAAATCTTTTAATAATGCTAAGTATCTACATATAATGAATAATTTTGTTTAAAAACTTGGGGCACCGGCTTCTCACCTGTCAGTGGGTGTGTAAGCTAACTAAGCTATAAGTAAGTAGTATACTACGTATGACCAATAACAGTTAGGTACTTTTGCTTTTACCGACTTCAAAAAAAGGAGGAGGTACTATGTTCGGCTGATTGTTTTTTTTTGTTGGTTTTTACTTTTCGTTTGTTTTTAGTTTTTGAAGTCGTGTTTTTATTTTGTTCTATGTACTAATAAAAGCGATAAAGAATACAGATAAAGGAAATATATATACGAGAATTAGAAGCAAACTCCCAAATCTTATAAGATTTTCCTAGATTATGTATGATGATTGATACGATTGTAACAACCATTGCTGTGCTAGTCGAATGTCGACATTTATAATTCACTAGCGACATATATACGGCATCTCTAAGGTATACGGTAAAGTGTAGTTCCGTCACTCGACCATAGATGGAGCTGTAGCGTATTATCATAAATCAGATCGCGGTGTTAAGAATCTCCGTGTGTAATGAGCCCCTGCGTGTTCATTGAATATTGTCAGACTGGCCTAGAGTTGCATTCTTGGATCACGTCCTAATTTGAATGATGAAAGGAGACTTCTCCAGCTAAGTTGTCTGAACTGACTCCTTTACTTTCAAAACGAGCTCTTTCGTTTTTGCGAGCTTCGATATCGAATCGATGTGTTACAGAATCGCAAGACTGAAGTTAGATAGATTTTTTATGATTAAGGAAATTACCCAATTATCAAACAAATATTATCAACAGCAGACCCAAGACGGTTAATTGTTGGATTATGGGCCTCCGTAATAGAGGTTTGCCATCATTAAATCCCGCCTGGGCGCCTGGCGTCCATCAGAGACCGGTTTCTGTTAAATCTACGAATACAAATAATGAACCGGTAAAAATGTGTCTTTATAATTAAATATTTTTCAATAAATCAAAATTAGGGTGATAATGTTAAGGAAACAGCAATAGAAAAGGTACCTATTTAGAAAAATAATATAAAAATCCTGTTTGTGTGGTTGTCGGTTTGTACTGGATACTAAAAACCTCCAGATTTAATAGACAGATTAGAATAAAACCTTTTTTGTTGTACTCATAGGTGATAAGCCTTTTTGATGAGGGGCGTTTATAAATCATCCAGTGACTTCGCCTACTTTAGGCCTCCTAAGGGGGAAGGGAATGTCAGACTCTTATTGACTAAAAACCACTCCGTTCATACTCCTGCTTAAAGCCCTACCTACTAATATATTATTTATAACATCCAAGAAAAAAAACTGACTGAATTCTTTTATTGTAACCTATCTAAATATTTACTGTCTCCTCTTGACTGGTTACAAGAATAAGAAGAAATTAAGAATAAGTATAGGTAAGTATATCTAATCTAATTTGAATGCATTCGAAAAAAAAAGTAGATGACGCGAGTACGGAAACAGAAATAAAAGTAGGTAGGTACCTACATATTTGCTTAAGATTTACAACGTGTTAGGTGATTACAAAATAAACTGTTAGATGAGGGAATCAATTATATTAAGTACGTATTTATTTAGTTGTAGCCATAGCCCGTAGGTTACTACAACAAACGACTTAAAATGTGAAAATGAGATAGCTACCTACCTAACATTTTGGAAATTGGAGTTAGGTGGCTAATTAAGCATTAATGGAAAAATAAATCTGGTTTCTTACAAATATATCCATCCATAGGTTGTCTGGAAGAAATCACCATTGTGTGATAAGACCGCCCATTGTACGCATATTTACTTGAATTGTTTATTTTAAGCTACTTAAATGTGTACAATATAGCATATATTAATAAATAAATAAATGCTTTGACTTTGACTTTGAGAGCATGAGGACGCTGGGTACCTACGTAACGTGTAATTTGTAAATTGGTGCACAGTACCTATGCGGAAACCTTGTTACCATTATATAAAAAATCGATTATAATAGGTGAGCGATACCTACTACTGTGTCTTATGTCATTAAAATGAAAGAAAGAGATAGAAGGAGGAAAATACATTGATTCACATTCATACGTAAAACAAAAGACAAAGAACAGCAGCAGGGCTAATCTGTGAGTAGAATACGGAATGTCGACGCACAAAATATCGATAAATGCTAATACGATGCTACAAAATTGCGATGCACGTTACCGCGAAAGACCGTCTCTGCGAAGATACTACACTTCGATGCACGTTACCGCGATAGATCTTCGCTGCGATACTACTTGAGTTCGATGGACGTTACCGCGAAAAACTACGGAGCAACTTGGCTACGACAAACTTTGACATCCCTGCTCGTCTTTCGTTAAGCTTGTCATATTAGCTATCTAGATTTATTTTATTTATTTACTATATTATCAATTATCAGAACAAAAATATATTTTGAATGGGCCTAAAAAAATATAAACCATAAAAAATAAACAAAAGAATAGACAGTAGATAATAAAAGTTTTAATAATTATGTTATTGATTGCTACAAAAATATGAATGAATCAAATAATTCGTAGGGGAAAAATTGTTTTATTTCATAATGCATATATATGCAAGACCATCTAAATATGTTAACATATCCATATCATCTTTCTTATTAATATTCTCTTGGAGTCTTTTGTAGTACTGCGTTTTTCTTTTTTCTTTTTTTTCCATCAGACCAGCTAACCTCTCTATTTTATACTCAGTATTTTTCTGTTTTTTTACAAGTTCTCTCATTGTTTTATATATATTTATTTTCCTTCTGTTAAGTAGACTATTCCAACGGTTATTCCAGCTTTCAACTGCATTTTGCGTGATGACTATACCTGAGACTAAGCAGTCCCAAACAGACCATAAACTAGGTGGGAATAGGGGTGGTTTCTTCTTTATAGTAAATTTTGGTTTATTTGGAGAAGACGATGATCTCTTACTGATATATGTTCTCATACAACAATTTTTCCCCTACCTCATTCCAATGTCTAGATTAGAGAAAAATGAGCAAAAAACTCCATGGGTTACTCTTTTCCAATCAGGTCTACAATAGTTATTTACTTACTTACATAGTTTTGTTGGTTCAATGGTATGAAAACCATTTCATTTCTAAAAAACTCCGTGGGAAACTAGCCTATGCAAAAGCGACGTTAGGACATTACCTATGCAAAATCTTGATTTCGAACCTAGAAACAAGTTCAGTAGGGTTGTTTCAACTTAGAATTTTGATTTATTTAAAATCGTCTTCGTCGTAAATCTCCGTAATATTTAAGTAGGGTTGGAAATTGTATTCACATTTTTGACAGTATACCTGGTACCAGTTATCTGGTTCCATAATGTGTTGATTTAGGTTGTCTCTGAGAGACAAAGCCCTTACTAAATTAAAAAAGAAGACAATTATTTTGATTTTCGTTTTGTATTTTGTTTGTTTTTCCTTTGTAATAGTAAAAATAGCTGATTCAGAGGGAAAGGCCTAGGCATGGGTTATCCAAATTTCGGTTCAATCCTGACGGCTAAATACACAGATATATTAAAGAAAAATATTTCTGTGCCTAAATATGTATTTCATTGTCGGTTGGTGGAGACGAATGTTTCTCTTACACGTCAAGTCCCTAGTCTTTCCTACAAGAAAATTTTAGGATATGTACTTTTTACGGCGTATATTTTTCGTAGTCGGGTTTAAGTTTGTAGCTTATTTTTTATTTCTATTATTTTGGGGTAAAAGTATACATAACTAAAATATATTATGGTTATCTATTTAAACCGTATACCACCATTACTACCAGCACTGTTTCAAACTAAGTAATGTGGTCAATCGAAAATTCTTAGCTTGGGGGTCCAAGCGAGATTTTGTAAAGAATTTTACTAAGTAAGTACCTACTACTTACTACGCGCGCGCACTGTGTTAGTCTCAAGTAATAATAATATGTTATGTTTTAAAACATAATTTTTGACGTAATATATATATTTTTAGTATATGCATTATAAGTTTAACTATACTACTGAGAAATGAATTCATTATTTATTTATTTTTAATTTATCCTGTTTATGTAAGTAAATTTATGAGTTAAAGTATTTATACAATACATATTATATATATAACCAACGATCAAGCGTGAAGAGATTGATGACTGGTGATGAAGCGAAAGAGGTATATAGGAATCGTCCATAGTCTCCGCCTATCCCTATGGGAGAACCCGACGTACGGCGCGTCGCGTTCCGCGCGCGCCTCAAAGAGCCATCAGACCACCACAGATGGGGCCCAATAGGGCTGTTGCCGATTCGGAGTCGCAGAGAACCTAACGGGTAACCGGGGCTCCGGCTCGACGTGCAGGTCAAGGAACGGGGTGGTTTTTAGTCAGTAAGAGTCTGACACTCCCTTCCGCCTCACCCAGGCGGGAGCAGTAATTCGATGATTTTCCCCCCTTTAAAAAAAATCCCTATGGGAGACAGGCGTGAAGTTATATGTATGTAAGTATGAATATTGTACATTTGAAATGTGCTAATTACTCCCTTCTATTTGACATCAAGAACGATAATTATAATCAGACAAATTTCTTTTTTTTATTCCCGATTTTTTAGCCTTTAGGCCATTTGCAATTTCGTATAATTTTATGTAGCCTTTAACCAGCGGACTAATGAGACGCATCTAATGATACCTCATTTATAAAATTATGACCGGTAGTTTAGTACATAACCCCTTCTTTTGGTTTCGCCGTAGTCGGGTACTTAATAAATTAAACTAATAGAAATAGAGTTCGGATTCGCTATGGAAATTAGTTTTTTCTATTTCATCCATGACTCAATTTGACTGATCCAGCATAATTAGGTATATGTTATCTACCTAATTACTTATACATATTCCTACAAGTTACGTGAAAATGTATCCGTTCCGGGAAAAATACAGCTGTTTAATTTGTCGCATCTTTAAACTAATTTATGTAAATAAATGTTACAACAAAACAGTATCAATAAGTAGGTACCTATAATAAAACTGTACACATACCAATTTTGTACATTGAAAATATAAAACTATAAATATTAGGGGGGGGGGG